CCCTTTCCCGCGCGTCGGACATTCGCAGCGCGCTGGCAGGGGCCCTGTTCAATGTCGCGCTGGAGGGGGATCTCTGCCACGCCAGCGCACGATTTCACCGCATTCGGAGCGTTGCCGACCCGACCGTTTTCGCCCAAGTCTGAAAGTCCGGCATGCCCAGCAAGGCAAGGCCATTATTTATCATGGGGCGGAAACCGCGGCAGGTAGTCGCATTTGCCAGACAGTGGGGCAACGACATACCGATAACGAGTTCTGACAAACTTGTGACCATGCAGTCTTGGAACATCCACGGTGGTTCACAATCAGGCGCTGACACTTACAACGAAAAAACAGTGTTATGTTGTGGCGAAGAATTCGAAGGTTACCTGCTCATGCATTGCGACCGTCTTCCATCGTCGTGCTGTCCAGATGCACCGACGATGGCAGCGCGCACACTTGGGCCCCGCACGCGCGCGGGCATCGGTCCGCTGACGACTTGGCGCCTACGCTGCGAATATCGCGCCAGTTCTCAGCGCGACCTACTGGCGGCGCGTAGCGCCGTCAGTGGGGGCGACCAGCTGCGCCCACATCGGCCCGCCCGTCGTTCGTGGCCTGCGCGGGCCAGGCCAACAGGTCCGAGGTGCGCGCTGGGTCTCTGGCGCGCCTCGCTGGGCGGCACCATCGCAACGGGACCCGCGCCGTCGCCGGGCACAGGCTCCTGGCGCGCCCTGCCCGGGAGCCGCTGCCGGCGGCCGCGCCGCCACGCGGCTCGCGCCTCCGATCGGCGCGGGGCCGCGGCGGGCTCTGCCGGGGAACCGCGACCAGCGGCCGCGCAACAACAGCGCCCGCGTTGCCGCCCAGCACAGGTTTCCAACGCAGCTTGCCTGAGAGCTGACACCACTGGCTACTCCATCACAGGGCGTCGTGCAATTATACAGCGCGGCGCCAGCTCTGGAAGGGGGACTTATTCGAAAAGTCCTACAACTACCACTGGCGCCACACGACATGCGCCATCACGACGAGCACATCGACGGTGCAGCGACGATTCGAGCGGCGATGCACGGAGCTGGCGGAAAGGCCAGTCTTGTGTAATGTTCACGACCGATCCGTGCTTGCGGCGTTGCCACTTGCGATAGTACGCGGCGCACCTCGACGAGCATTTGCAAACCAAACGAGGCGTTCACGGCTGAACCATGACCACCAACCGGAAAGTTACCACAGCGCGCGCGTTCGCGCCAGGCCACCGGCGCGGCCGCGCACCCACCAACGCCACGCCGCATAAACGCTCGCCGTGCCAGCCCGTCTTCCGAGATCTGGCCGACTTCCCAGACAAGGGACTGCACGCACAGATGGCGCACCAATGCGCAATGGCGTTAGCTTGGCACTGGTGCGCACACGCACCTGCGCACACGCGGTCAACAAGACCCAGCCCCCGACGCGAACGCGACAGCGTTGGCCCAAATGCGACAACACCACGCGGGGCTGGGCTTCATCAGCCTCAGTTGTATGAGCAGCCAACGCTGGGCGACTGGGCCAAGCGCTGACGGCCGCCTGGCAGGACTGCCTTGGCGCGCAGCTCCGGTTCGCCCATCCGCGGCACGGCATAAGTGAGGTCGCGTGAAAACACGGACACAAGCCTTGACCAGCCGCCGCCAGTCTACCTATTGGTAGGTGCCGAGGGACACGCCATTCGCCCGTAGACCCCGACCCGCCCCCATTCTGTGGGAGACGCTACGAAACGCGTTGTCCTTTCATTGTTTGGGGGGCTACTCGCTTCCATCCCTTGGGAGATACTTCGAACTGCGACTACCTTGTCTTATTCTTTGAGTAGAGTATACTGACGATGGCAACTTGTTCTTATTGGTCGGGATGCACAACGAAACTTGCGAAACAGATTCCGCCAGCGACCGGCGCCGTGGATCGGTCAAGAAAGCACGCGGTGCCCACCGCAATGCGCGCGCCCATCGCGCGCGCGGCCACGGCCAGCATCTCTGACAAGAACCAGCGCAGGTATCTGGCCAAATGTCTGGCACGGGCTGTCCAGTGAGATTGAAATGTGAGCGAGGTGATGCAACGACGGATTTGGGCCCCCAGAGACGTTGAAGCCTAAAGACCAGAATGCCATCACAGACAGAAGTCTTCGAATCATCAAGACAGCTTCCCTTCCAGCACATTCTCAGCATGTGAACAAGTGCTACCGCCTCGACACCTTCGACTCGCTCTGCCCTCATCTGTCAACGGATCAACCAGGCCGCTCCGTCCAGCAGCGATCGCAACGACAGCGCCCGCATCGCAGATCGCCAACGTCACCGACCACACTCTGGCAGCGATTACTTCCAAGTGAATTGTTATTATCCGGTGCCCTCCTGGCCCGCGCGCGCGCGTCGCCGCCGCCGCGCGGTCGGCCGCGGCGCGCGCTGACTAAGGAACCCTGCAATCTACTGCGACCACGGGCACGGCGCCAGGTCCCGCCTACACCTCCGTCCAAGCAACATGGTCCGGAAGAGAGCGCGCGGCTGCGCAACGCGTTCGCGGCGCGCTTTTTGTCCTCGCCACGACGCTGCATGGCTACTGCGTGGCTGTGCGACGCGTTCGCGGCGCGACCCACGCCCCCTCGCGCGCCGCTGCGCCACTGGCTGCGCGACGCGTTTGCAGCGCGCCCCACTGCGCGCGGCGACGCCACTGCGAGGCCGCTGAGGGCAACGACGTCGCGTCAAGCAGTGGCCTCAAGCAGCGCGATGCAGGGCGGCGCCGTCGCGGCGCGGCCACCGCGCGGCGCGGCGTGGCGCGCGGGCGCGAGGGGAAAAGCTGCGGACATAAATCGCTTTATTCTAGAGTCCTGAATTGCAGCGAACTAGATCTCGCCACGCCAGCGCACTGCCTATGCGCGGCCACATCCAGCAACCACATCCATGCCAAACGCCATTGCACGCCTGCGCACTGTCCGTGCAAGTCGACCACGACTGATGCGAAGACACCGCCGCCCACTCCGTCGACCACGACAGGCGCTGCTACAGCAACGGCATCGGCCCTGACCACGCTGACATCAACCGTTCTGGATATCAAGAGCTGCGCGATCGCCAGCGCCACCGAGGCCGCCATCGCAGGCTCTCCGGTCGCCGCGTCGCCGTCGCCACCAGCTTCACCAATGACAGCCGGAACAGTTCACCAGGGGTAGCAACGCGTTGAGCCCCTTGCGAGAGCCGTTGGCGAGAGAAGCGACGAGCCACGCTCTGTTGGCGCCGTGCTCGTCGTCACCACGCAGGCCGCAACAGGACGACGACAGCTCGATCATCGCCCACCGGGGCGCTCAGCTTCTATTCCAGGCGAGTCCGAGGCAGCGCCCCTCCCCAGGAGCATCAACCACGCGGCTGGGACTGCTGAAACAACGCGACTTTCACAAATCCACCAGAAGGCAACACCAATCCCGGCCCGCGCGAACACGACCAGCTTGCTGACAATCACTTGCGCAGACCTTACGAGACAGGCCAGCGCACCCTGCGCGCGCGGCAATGCCCCGCCTGGATAGCCAGGCGCACAGAAATACGCCTGCACGCGCGCGGCTCTCCAACACACACACGCACACACACACACACATACACACAAACACACACACACACATACACACACACACACACACGCGCCATGCGCTAAAGCAGCGCCACTCATTCGGATGACACATCGGCGCGCGCGGCAGCCTGAGCAGGCCCAGGCCGGAGGGGCGCCCCGCCCCGAGTTGCCCCGGCCCCAGCTCAGGAAGGCCGAGTACTGACCAACGCCAAGGGTGAAGCCTCTTGGCGCGCCAGGACTACGGATCTGAATTTATCCGACTTCGGCAGAAGCGCATTGCACCCATCAGGTCGCACATGCGATGACGGTTAACGACGACGACGACGACGATTGTCGAGCACGCCGCCCCATGCTCCACCACCCTCTTCTTGGTTTTGCTGGGCCTAGGTGCACCGGCTACTGCGCCAGCGCCGTCTTCCAAGCGCTGTCCGCGAGCTGCAATCTCTCGTCGCGCCGGCCCATCCGCCATCGGAGCGTTTTTTCGTGCAGCATTTGGTTTTAGAACATGTTCGCCGCTACAGCGCGTCGCGCGGCATCGCTTACACCGCGCGTGCTCTGCGCGCAATCATTGACACGAAAGTGGCGTGGGCGTGAATTGGCGCGCTGGTGTTGCCCTTGGCGCACCTGCGCCGTCACCCTCAAAGTTGCGCGCGCCGACTTGAGGCCAGTGCATCTTCCCGATCGCCATTCAACCAGCCGGAAACACCGGAGTGCCAGCGACGTGTCGGTGCGAGCTTGGCTCCCAGAGAGCTTGCACGAACCGCAAGTTTAGCCATCGCGATCACCGCAGCTCTCGAACAGAAAGCCCCCATGCCACTTCTACCCTGGCCTCGATTCGACCAGCTCCCCATTGCAGAAAGGATTTCGTGAAAAGGCTAGTGCGTCCCACGCGCGCGGCACGGCGCGCCGCGCAACGCCGCGCGGGCGCACGCGCGCGCCGACCGCGTGTCCACGGCCACTGCCTGTTCACCCGGGCCCAGTGCCACCGCGCTGCACGCCCCGGAACGTCAGGACTACCAGGCAGGCGCGCGCGCATGCATGCACGCATGCATGCGCGCGTAGAACAAGCCACGCGAGAAGTCGGCATCACTGATTTCCGCTTGGTTTTCTGCCGGGAGGACAAAGCGGGCAACAGCCGCATGCTCCTGCTCGGGCGCATCCCGGCCGCCTCGACGAGGACCTTCACGCGCCGCTCAGGTGACCTCCAGCGACCAGCACCGCGGCCGTGGCCAAGGAGACCATCACGCGCGCCAGGGAGCTGCCCGATCCCTAGGAAAACCCTTTTGTTTATCCCGCAGCTGCCTCGCCGCGGTAGCTTCAGGGCGCTGGAATTGTCCTGAACAGCGGCCTGTGCACGAGTCATGGGGCTCTCTGCGGATACATTCGAGCATCACGTTGCGTCGCTTCTCCGCGTGCGCCGATGCGACGTGGCCACCTCCCCCCTCGGAGACATGCACATCACGCGTTGCTCCGACGCGGATGCCAATACATCGGCTACCAGCCACCACGTGTCACCGCCGCCCTCGCAGATAGGCGACGACCTGCGCGTGCTCCACGGCTCGGACGGCCCCGGCGGATCTGGATATGTCCACTTCCGCATCCATCGGAATGGCATCGCTTTCTACGCCAACGTCGCGGACACCTCCCAGTTGCACCAGCGCCTTCAGCAAGCTGAACCGCACGATGTTGCGCAGTCATTGAAATGCGCCCACCGCCGCACCAACATGAGGTGGACCAGCCCCGAAGCAGAAAAAGGGCCCGATTTCCACGCGAACAGGGAGATGCCAGCATTATGGTGCTGGACCTGGACTTCCACTTAAGGGGGCACTGCGTTCGCCATGTGGACGCTCAGTGGCTCAGCTACAGTCCTGGGCTGAAGATGCGACGCTGGGATCGTCAAACCCACAGGTGGCCACGCCTCGTTGGAATTCGCCGTACCCCACGCCAGTGGCGATCCACTTCAATATCAACTCGCAGATCAACCCCTGGAACCCTGGAGCATCATGAACGAGCGCACGCCGACGGCGCCGAGCCACGAAGCGTTCGTGGCCAGCCAGGACCGAGCTCAAGGCCATCGTGGACGTCGCGAAGACCTTGGAGGACACCGACGCCACGTCCACGATACAGAGCTACCCGTCATACAACTGCCACGCCACCTCTCGCAAATTCTGAAGTCTACAAGCCTAGAGACGTTCGCACCACGCTGCTGAGAGGCCCATTTCGGGGTCTCACAGCGGAGGTCACCACCACAGCGCAGCAGCCAGCCAGCAAGCTTTACCTTCTAGACCTCACGCCGCTCGCGCCACGCACGCAGGCGGCGATGTGCGCGGGCACCACCGCCGACGAGACACTCTTCGTGAAGGAGGGGGCCTCGTCACAGACATCGTCGCGAGGTCGGATTCGGAGATCCCCAGGCCCGCTGAGGATTGGCCTGGCGCGCCAGTGCTGCTTCAAAGCGCGACAGTTCCCGGCCTCGGAGGTTATTCTAGACTCACTCTTCATTTGTCGCTCCCGCGTCAGCCCCTAGAGTGGGCACGCACTCGACGACGGCAGCTCGGCCGTGCAGTCGCCAATCGGGAGCGGCGAACGGGGCGCGGCTCCGCGCTGCCCCGCGCGCGCCGCCACTGTGCCCACGCTGCAGCACGGCGGCCAGCGCGGGGACGCGCGCAGCAGTCCCTGTCCTACATCGCCGACGTCGAGGGCGCGCTGAGATGCGCCCAACACGTGGCGCCACCAGCCAGGCTCACCGTCATCCATCCGACAACGCCACGCATAACGACGCGGTCGTTGTTTGCGCGCGGCTCCACACTAAGCACGAACAGTTGACCGAACCGAGTCCATCGCACGGCCGTCAGCAGCACGGACCCCGTCGCGCTCGCAACGGATCGCTCGGAAGCGCCCGCGCCCTAACCTGGCACGGCATTTTCCCCTGGGCGCGCCGCGCCGCGGGAGCGCACGTGCGTCAAACAGCCACCACCTCATGCCGATGAGCTTGAACATGTCTGAGCCCGATGCGCCAGCTGGAAGACACCTGCATGGCGACTGAGCTACAGCGAGCAATCGCCATCGAGAAGCCCCCTGCAATCAGTGGCCAGCCAGCCTCCCCTTCAAATGCAAGGCCGCCGTTTGTCTCGCAGCAGCCTGGCTCCACGTGAACGACGACATGAACGTCTTCGTCGCGAAGGTCCGGTGGGCGCAACGCGCTAGGCACCCGACACGCGCCGCGTGCAAGTGCCCAGCCGTGGCATTTCGGCACGGCCTACACTACGACGCACCGGCACGGCAGCACGCCATCACAGAGGTCTGCGCTGCAGCACCGGCCGCGCCTTGATCGACGAGCCGGCATGCGTCGCGGCAGCCTGGCACGCAGGCCTCGCCGCGTTGCCGATTCCGGAACAGCTGCGAACAGCCGAAGTAGGCACTTGCGACCTAGCGCTGCTGTCGGCCCCAGACAGCACGCACCGCGCCATTCGCCAGACTAGTTAAGACACGGACCAGGCAACACCCGTGACTGGCACGCGCCAGCATCGTTGCGCCTTCGCGCCAACGAAGCAAAGCGCGCGGGTGCTCTCAAGCCACGGCGTCGCGCAAGCACCGCAGGGGCCAGCTGCGCCCGACGGCACCTACCCACAAAGAGTGCTGAACATTAGCGGCTACGCCAACAGTGCGCAAGATGCAGAGCCAGGGAGCACACCTGGCCGTCAAGCGGACGCTGGCCACGATGTGTGCCGGGCCCCGCGAGCATTACCCTGCTGTCGGCTGCAAGACAACAGCCGTCGGTCGATAGCACATCGGGCAAGAAGCCTGTCCGCAAGCTCTCCCTGCTGTCGCGTGCCGTTACGGTCAAGCAACCCTGGCCACAGGCAGCGCGTCAGACTCATGCGCTGACCACGCACGAGCACGCGTTGCTGTCCAGGGTTCACCACACCACCATTCAGGCTGTGGCTATTGAGTTATGGGTGAGGTGCAGGAGACAGCCTGCTGCTGAACGCGTGTGATCAACGCGGCGCGGCCGCTGCTTCCCCGCATCTCTTCGCGTGTTCTTCCAAGACCAAAGCGCGTTGGAGGGACACCATCCATTGCCCGGTAGCCCCGACTAGAATTAGGGGTACGGGTGCGCGCCCGCCGCCATTCTGGCTCACAGCGCGCGCACGTTAGTGTACTGGTAGAGGACAAGGACCGCTGCTCCACTCTTGGTACTGCCGCCAGTCCTTTTCTTTCTCTCACCACTGCCATCCGCAATTATGGTTCCTTGCTTCCTCCTCATCCTTCTCCTCCTCCTCCTCCGCCTCCTCCCCTGTTGTGGCTAGGGTTGTGTTCATCCCTGAAGCGCCGCTACCTCATGTAACCTTCATCGCCCCCATTGCTCCACCAGGTGGTTTTCTAGAAGCACGTCGCCACTCCAGCGTTTAGGGGCACGGTCCTCTTTGGTCACTCCCGCCCGCCCCTCCTTGGTGTGACCACGCTCCCCGCTCCACGAGGCGGGAACGGCCGAGCGCCACGGCGCCGCCGGCCCCGGCGCGGGCAGAGGCGTTCGGCGGGGCGCGCCGGCCAGCGGCGAAGGCGCCCCCCGCCCCCGTTTGTTTTCGAATTCGGAGGTCCACAGATGGAATCTTGAGGGATGGGGCCCCAAGAACGAGGTGTCTCAAACAACGTAGATTTGCCTTCGGGTTCCTGCCTATCCTGTGGCCCCCATCGCGCAGGCTCCAGGCCCCCATGTTTGAGGCGCCGCCGAGGTACGACCGAACCAGGTTTGGAAAAAACGGGCACGTAGAACGACAGGGGTTCGACATGGGTACGGACTTCGTCGTCGGTTCCCGGAGGTTTTCGGATTTTTCGTCGGTTCCAGCAGGGTTTCCAGTTTCGGGGTGTTCACCAGCAGCTGCGCTTCGCCAAGAGCTTCCCAGGGGTGCCCAGATCGTCCCGAACGGCCGCCAGAGGCTGGAGTCGTGGCCCCAAAACCACCAGGGGCCGCCTGGACGGCCGCGCGGTCGCTCTGAGGAACGGAGTGGGTGCGGACGGCATCGGTGCGAAGTCTGGCAGCAGTTCCTGCCAATTTTGAACAGGGTTCGGTGTTGGCGTCGCCGCGGACGTTGTGCATTCGGGGCAGCAGGCCGCATGCCCATCAACGCCCGCTGCCGGTTGACAGCGCGTGCTGTTGAGCATCGGCCCCATGTGTTTCAGGAGGGAAAGAAACATCGATTCCGTGGAAAATATTTGAAAATGTGGGAAGTGGTGGGGAAACCAAAAACCCAGAAAATATTGGAAAAAATTGGGAATCTTGTTATTTGTGTGTATTTGTTTGTGTGTCCCTGGGCCCCGGGAGCGTTGTGTACCCATGTCGAGCATCGAGAGTCGTGGCTCGGAGAGCACAGTATTCTCAAAGGAGGTCCCCACTGAATGGTGTGCCAGGGTTATAGCGGGATGGCGGGGGCGCGACACCGTGTAAATATCGGGGGAGCGTAAGACCCGGGTTTGCCAGGACTCGGGATCGCCATCGTTTTTTGACGACCGCGCCTCGGATTTTGACGAGGAGGAGTTTCGTGGATGTCTGCAGCGGGAGGCCTCGTCAAAATGCAGGCTCGGCCTCGACATTTTTTTGACGACCTCGTCGGGGATTTCCGAGTCCCCTGTACCCAGGTCTTACGTCCCCCTGAAAATAATGTGTGGTTCCGATACTTCCTTCGTTCTGGCGGGGCCTCCCCTGGAGCCTGGTGGTGTGGGAGGGCCACGAAGCCATGCAAGTAATGCGTGGTTCCGATGGCGTCCTCGCTCTTGCGGGGCCTCCCTGGGGGGGAGCGGGAAGGGCACGACACCGTGTAAATGATATGTAGTTCCGATAGACTCCTCGTTCTGGCAGTTTTCCAGGGGGGGGGGGAGGGGCACGACACTGTGTAAATAATATGTGGTTCCGATAGCGTCCTCGTTCTGGCAGCGCTCCCTGGGGGGGGTTGGAGGGGCACGACACCGTGCAAACAATGTGTGGTTTCGATACCCTCCTCGTTCTGGCGGGGCCTCCCTGGAGGGGTGGGAGGGGCACGAAACGGTGTAAACAATGTATGGTTCGGATACCTTCCTCGCTCTGGCGGGGTTCCCTTGGGGGGGTTGGAGGGGCACGGAACCGTGTAAATAATGTGTGGTTTCGATAGCGTGCTCGCTCTGGCGGAGCCTTGCTGGAGGGGGGCGGGAAGGGGACGAAATAGTGTGAAGAATGCGTGGTTCCGATACCCTCCTATGGCGGGGCTTCCCTGGAGGGTTTGGAGGGGCACGAAAACGTGTGAATCATGTCTGGTTCCGATAGCTTCCTCGCTCTGGCGGGGTTTCCTGGGGGAGGGGGGCGGGAGGGGCACGAAACCGTGTAAACAATGTATGGTTCCGATAGCGTCTTCGTTCTGGCGGGGCTTCCCTGGAGGATACTTACAGACAGACAGGCAGACAGACAGACAGACATAAAGACAGACAGACAGACAGACCGACAGACATACAGGCATGAGCATATACATACATACGTGCATGCACACATACATGCATGCGGGTATGCTTACATCATGTATGTGCTTGTGCATATGTACACACACAAGTTTCATACATACCTACGTACATACATGCATGCATGCATGCATACATACATACATGCATGTGTTATGTGTCTCTCTTTCTCTCTCTCTCTCTCTCTCTCTCTCTCCTCTCTCTGGGAAGGCCGACATCCAGCGGCGGTCGTGGTGCTGCCTCGGCCCCCGCCGGGGTCGCCCGCAGGGGTGACGCCGCCACCGCCCGAGGCCTCCGCGGTGCCGCGCGGGGGCGGAGAAAAGAGTCTCGGCGCCCGGCACGGGCCGCGCGGGTCGCGGCTGAAACGGATGGATCCATCGGACGTTTGGGGCAGTTTCCCATCCACTGCTTTGCCGATCGGCGCGGGCCCCATGGAGTAGATCGTCGTCGTCGTCGTCGGGGAGGGAGGAGGGAGGAGGGCGATGATGAGGAAGAGGGTGCAGGAGGGCGATGATGAGGAAGAGGGTGGAGGAGGAAGAGGAGGAGGAGGAGGAGGAGGAGGAGCACTCCCCTCCCACCCCGTGGAGCAGATCCTGGCTGTGTTTGGCGCCTGTGTCAAGGAGGTGGAGTCTCCTCCATGCGACGCACTGCTGCAAACAGCCGCATTCAGCAGAGGCCTGGAGCCGGACCACCCCCCTCCCCCACCCCTTCCGCCCAATGTCGAAACGCCGAACAAGAAAACGTTCCCCTTGCGAGGGAATTTTGAAGGAGGTCAAAGGGGGGCTTGTATAGCGAACGTCTTGCCTATCCTTACCTAACCCGCGGTGGTCCGGGAGGGCCACGGCTTTTGGAGATCGCGCCCCGAACGTATTTGTTTCGAAGACGGTGTTTTTCTCGGATGTTCCTCGATGAGGATGAGCTTCGATATCGCCTCGACGGATGTGACATCATCCCCCACTGGGACCCGTGTCTTGCGGGCAACAGGAGGTTGTACAGACACTTGATCAAGCTGCTCCATTCGAAGGGCATGCTGGTGTACCTCGAGGAGTTGGCGCGCGGCGAGGACGTCGGAGTCTTCCTCGTGGCCAAGAAGAGCGACCAGCTCCGCCTCACTGTGGACGCGCGAAGGAGCAACCTCCAATTCACCTCGCCCCCCGTTGTCTCGCTGGTCACCGCCGAGGGCCCCGCCCGGGTGGAGGTCGAGCTCGACGGGGGCCCCATCGGCGCGGGGCCGAGTTTGGGGTTCACGCTGGGCACCTCTGACATCACCGACGCTCTTCCACCGCTTCAGGATCGACCCGGAGTTGTCGGGCGACTTCCGCCTGCAGACCGTGCCTGCCAGCGAGGTCGGCATTACGGGCGTGGAGAGCAGAGGAAACGAAATCTGCGAGGAAAGACGAGAAAGGAGGACTTGGACCTTGGTAATGGTAGCGGGTAAGTCGAGCCCATGCCCAGGCCTCTGGCAGCCCCGGGGTGCGGCCGGCCCAGGACCATCGGATTGTGATCCAATCGTTTCTTAGACCAATTGTCCCTGCCTTCCCCCCTCCTGGAGGAGAAGCGCCAGGAGCGTGGAGCGGTCTGGAGACTACCGTGTTGCGAGTTCGTTCCAATGAGCGGAGGGCGCCTCGGCTCCAACAGGCGACATCTGAAGGGTGCGCAGGGCGGGCCGCGTGCCCTTCCATCGGAGGGCGATGGCTATACACCTGCGCCGATCTTGGCCAGGCGAATCCTGGACCCCAGGCCAGTGTGCATGGGTTCCCCATCAAGCCAGGCTGACGCATGTACCGATCCCGGGCCCGGGATTGGCCTAGCCAGGGTGGGCACACGTGTATAGTTAGTCGGAGCATTCTTCTCTTTGGTTCTGGAGGGCCCTTCCTTGAGGAAGACGACGACACTTGGATGATGACGAGGAGAAGGAGGAGGGGAAGGAGGAGGAAGAGGAGGAGGAGGAGGAGGAGGAGGAGGACCACTGTAAACCCAAGATGCATCAACTATGTTGCAATAAACCTTCCCTCAGAGTCCCCCTTTTCATAGGTCCCTGAAGAAGTCATCCTCATTTCGGGAGAAGTGGCCCATTAGACACTCGTCTGAGAAAACCACATGTTGAAAAGGAATTGCCCTCCATCCATGAAGCTGCTGCAAGCATCTAAGACGAATGTGCGCGGCGCTAAGGCGAGAGCCACATTGTGGAAAAGGCCCGCCCTCCATCCGTGAAGTTGCTGCAAAGTTCAAGCTCCAGGATCATCAATGGCGAGGAATTCTTGACGCTTCGCGTATCCCCACCAGCCCATCCTACACCAGGCACTCGAACGAAGAGCGCCGATGATCGGCAGCTGTTCTCCTCCCCTCTTCCTCCTTCTCCTCCGCCTTCTCCTCCTCCTCCTCTCCTCCTCCTCCTCCTCCTCCTCCTCCTCCTCCTCCCCTCCTCCTCCTCCTCCTCCTCCTCCTCCTCCTCCTCCTCCTCCTCCGCCTCTTCCTCCTCCCTGGTGGCGTATTGGAAGTGTCTTCGAACGTTTTGGTGGGCTCTTGGGCCTTGCGGGCGGGCGGGCGGCGCTCCGCCCGCCCGCGCGCAGGGCCCAAGAGGGGGTCCAAGACGTCTCTCGGAGCCATCTTGGAGGAGATCGATCAACGAAGGGGGGGTCCTAAATTTCAGCCCCCCCCTCAGGAGCCACGATCCTCGTGAGGGGTGTCGAATTTTAGCCCTCCCAGGGGTCGATCTTGGACGCTCTGACCGATCGCGGCCCCCCTGTCCAGGTCAGTGGGGAGGGGGTAGGGGGAGGGGTAAACCCCTCCCCGAAGGGGAAGAAGGAGGGGTGGAAGAGGAAACGCTCTAAACCACCGACGCCCAGAGGGCTGGTGGGATTCCCAGGCGAAACGCCCAGCCCGCTATACCGACACGTTTGGGAGTGTGACAGGGAGGAGTTACTCAGAAGGAAAAGGAATGGACGCAGACCTTGCAATTTGGCGATCGGCGCCCGTGCAACGCGGAAACGAGGAGGAGGACGCGCCCCTCTCCTTTGGAGGGGCTTGGCGCTACTTGTAGGAGGAGGATGAGAGGAGGATGAGAGGAGGAGGGAGGAGGAGGAGGAGGAGGAGGAGGAGGAGGAGGAGGAGGAGGAGGAGGAGGGGCGACCGACGACGACCACGACCACGACGACGACCAACGACGACCGACGACCGACGACCGACGACCGACGACCGACGACGACGACGACGACGACGACGACGACGACGACGACGACGACGACGACGACGACGGCGGACGACTGGAGCCCCCCGGGCGCCAGGAAGACTGCCCCCTGCGCGCCGCCCCCGGCGGCCCCCCGGCGCAGGCCCCTGGGCAGCCGAGGCCCGATGCCTCTGCCGCCGGCCGACGCTCCGGCTCGCCGCCGCCGCGCCGCCCGAAGACGTCCACTTTGGCAGCGGCTGGCATCGGCGACCACGCAGGGCGTGGGTTATCACCGCCTACCAAACCACCCCAACCCAACCCGAAGGCCTCAATTTGCCCTCCATTTCCAGTGGGGGAGGGTCGGGGAACGTTGAAAAAACACATGGTGCCCGTACCCCCCCCAACCCGAAATTCGGGTCGAATTCGGGTCTTCGGGTTGGGTTGGGGTGGTCTGGTAGGTAGTCAGGTTACCCTGGCATCGCTCGGACGTGTGTATTTTTTTCTCGGCGAGGGCCCTCGAGGGCCATCCTGGGCCATCGAGCAGGAAAAAAACACGCACGAGACCGAAGAATGCACGGGAAATAGACGTCCGAGCGACGGCAACGCCGGAGTGTGCTCCTGCGATCGGCTCAGGGGCAACGATGGGGGGGGGATAGGCACAGGGGGGATGCGTCGGCCCCCGATCGCCCATGGATCGCCGAGGGGGGCCCGACGGCACCACCCCGCCCAGGAGGGTGCGGATTTGCGATCGGGGGCCTATCGCTGACCCATCGGCGACCTGTCGCCGATTCCAGGTCGACGTTTCCCCCCCTTATGCCTATTCCCCCTTATCGCTGCCCCTCACCACACAGGGTGTGGGTTACGCCGGAGTGTGCTCTGCGATATCGGCGCTGGCGGGGCCTGGGGGGCACGGCTCTGGCACCGTCGGGCCTCCTCGGGGTGCGGCGGAGAGCTCCGGCGAGGTCCCCGCCCGCAGGCCCCCCGGAGAGCCCCCGGGCCCCCCCGGGTGCCGGCGACAGGCCACGCCCTACGCCAACCACACCTTTTCGGAGTCGCGGATGGGAGCCCAGACATTTTTTTTGATCCGCTGGTCGAGAGCGCATCTCTTCCGGTCGAGGCTAAGCGGGCCATGGGAGCCCGGACATGCTAGCGCAGTTTCCGTCCTTGTCGGCCTCTCGGGGCCCTCACCAGGCCCCGGGGCCGTCAGAGACGATTGGGGATGAAAGACCAGTCGCGGGGCAAGAGACGTCCACGCTTGCAGCTTCCGTCGAAGAGCAAAACACAAGATAAGCATACCTGTCGGTCATTGAAAGTAGGCCTTTTTGGAGGCCCAAGTCCCAATCTAGGCGCCGTCATACTTCAAGAACCGACGGGAAAACTTTCGGAGCTCCTCGGATTTCTTTGATCTGCGCTGGAGCTCCTTGACAGCGCATCCAGCGCCGCCCCTGGCGCGCTCCGCGCGCCAGGGAGTCCGCGCGGACCTCCAAAAGTGTATGGTTCTGCTGGGAGCCCTGCTCAGGGGCAGCGATAAGGCGGTCACCACCCACCAAGCCACCGCAATCCAACCCAACCCGAAGGCCCCAATTTGCCCTCAATTCCCAGTTGGGGAGGGGGGGCGTCGGGGAGAACTTTAAAAACACATTCGAAACCCATACCCCCCACACCCGAACTTTGGGTCTTCGGGTTAGGTTGGGGTGGTCGTGTAGGTAGTTTCGAATGCAACTCCTGGGCAGTCGAATTCTGATTTTACCCTGGTCCAGAATGCGGTTTAAATCTGCTTAACCCCGCTTAATCCAATTTAATTTGGCTTAACCCAGCTGCATCCCACTCAATCCGCGGTCTCATCCAGCGCTGTAGCTCCCCATTGGGGCTCAATTCTCCAGAAATCCTTCCACCAAAGACCCGCCTGGGCCGACCAGGGGCCCTCTTGGGGTGCTCCAGGGTCTTGGAGGCCATCTTGTGCATCTTGGAGGCCTCTTGGGCCGTTTGGGTGCCCTCCTGGGGCGGCCTTGGGGGCCTCTGGGGCCGTTCTGGGGCCATCCTGGAGGCCTCTTGGGCGATCTTGGGGCGATATTTGAGGGCTCTTAGGACGTCCCGGGCCGTCGAAAGGCCGAAAAGAAGCAAATACCAAAATCCTTCAAAAACTTGTAAGGGAAATCCCTGATTTGGGTCTCTTCGGGCCTTCCTGCAGGCCCTCTTTCTTGGAGACCTCTTGGGGGCCTCTTGGGCCGGCTCAGAGCCCTCTCGGGCCGTCTTGGCGGGCTCTTGGCCCGTCTGACATCGGAAGCTGCCTTGGGGGCCTCTCTCGGCCGACGGGGGCCCCTCTTGGGGTGCTCCAGGGCCGCCTTGGAGGCCATCTTGGGCGTCTTGGGGGCCTCTTGGGCAGTCATAGGCCATCTTAGAGCCATCTTGGGCCGTCTTGGTGGGCTTTTGGGCCGACGGGGGGCCCTCTTGGTGCTCCAGGGCCGCCTTGGAGGCCATCTTGGGCGTCTTGGGGCCCTCCTGGGGCGGTCTTGGGGGCCTCTTGGGCCGTTCTTGGGCCATTTTGTTGGAGGCCTCTGGGGCGATCTGGGGGCGATCTTTGGGAGCTCTCGGGCCGTCTCGGGCCGTCGGAAATCAGAAAATAAGCGAATCCGAAAATCCTTCAAAAACCCAAGGGAAATCAGTGATGCTTCTTGGAGACCCCTTGGGCCATCTTAGGCAGTCTTGGCTGCATCTTGGGCCGTCTTGCCATCTTGGAGGCCGCCTTGGAGGCATCTTCGAGGCCAGCTTGGCGGTCTGGAAAGCAACCTTGAGCCGTCTAGGGAAACTGTTTCGGCAGATGTCGCGCTGTGGGGTCCTTTCTTGGTGGCCAGCGGGCGAGAGTTGTTTGGGAGAGCGAACCACAACCAGAACCGAAAGATTCTAGCACGCCAGGCCCCCCTGTGGCAAGCCAACAGGGGGCGGCGGATCCTGGTGGCCTTCGGACCCCATCCCGCCACCGTGCCAGGGTTGCGGGTATGAGGCCTCTTGTAATTATATGTGTTGGGATGTCGTGGGGAGCCTCTTGGGGCCTGTTGGAGGCGATTTGGGCGCCTCTTGGGGTCCTCTTGAAGCCTCGTGGGGTACATGTTGGGCCTCTTGGAAGCGTCTTGGACGCCTCGTGGGTGCCGCTTGGGGTCTCTTGGAGCCTCTTGGCGGCCTCTTGGGGCTTCTTGGGGCACATCTAACATGTTCGGTTCGTAGTCGCCTGCTTAGGCCCCTCTTGGGGCCGTCGTGGGGCGCTCTTGGGCAGTTTTGACGTCTCGTGGGTAATCTTGGAGCCTTCTTGGGTCGTCGTGGTGCCCTCTTGGAGGCCTCTTGGGCTGTCTTGGGTCGTTTTAGGAGCTTCTTGAGCCGTCTTGGAGCATCGGAAAGCCGAACATGCGAGAAGGCCAGCATCCTTCAAGAATCGTTGTAAAATCTGCGGTGGGAGGCCTCTTGGAGCGCTCTTGGGGCCTCTCGGAGCATTCTTGGGCCGTCTTGGAACCATCTTCGGGCGCATTGGAGCA